ACTGCTTCGGGTCCAGACCTCAGTGAGCCAGTGTTGGCTACACTCAGAGGTGCATAAGCATACATAATAAAACTAAATAAATTTTAAAAAATGAAAATAACTAAATTAAATCACGACGTTTCGGAGGCAACACAAGCTTCCGTCTTCAGGTGGAACTGTTACAGCCAAAATCGCTGTAGTAAGTGAAGAGAGCTAATAGAGATACGCGACTTTATAGGGTAAGAGGGGGGAGGAGCCAAGGCCATTCACCTCGCCTCCCATTGGAACCTAGGTGAACGGTGGCCCCTCCCACACTTCCCGCAGACCAGGCTCCACCCCCCAATACCCCGGGCCGCGTGATTGGACCAGAGGCCAGCAACAACCCCATTTACGCTCACATTACACAAGTAAAACGATCCGATGAGAGCAGGTTGCAGTGTTTTTGTAATGCTGAACGTCACAATGAAATTTCGATTTAAAGCTTTCGTGACTGCAGAGATTCATCTTCTTGGTTCTTTCGGTAAAGTCACGTAGAAGAGAAGTAATAAAATAATAAAAATAAAACATAATAAAATAAAATAATTCTCACGACGTTTCGGCTACAACGCAAGCAGCCGTCTTCAGGTGAAGAATGAGACACTACCAAGCTAGGAGCTTATATTTAAGCTGGGTTGGAGGTGGAAGAGCAACTTAACAAAAAGAATGTGCATATGAAGAGGAATTTAGCATATTCATGGGAAATGCGTAGGAGGTGGGTTGGGGGGTTTCATAGTCATATTATGCCCATGCATTATGCAGGATCAACAGCACCAAGGGGGGGTGCAGGGAGTAGCATTAACAAAGGAAAGGAATGTTAATAGTATGTAGCTGCAGTTACTAAACAACCACGTAGAAAACTAAAGTATAAACTACGTAAAAAAACTAAAGTATAAACTGCATAGCACCATCAGTATACTTACTATACTCTACAATAAGCTGAGTTACTAACAGCAAGTAATACATTACAATTCTACGTCGTAAAAATTATATAATATGCTTCCATCTAAACTTTATTCTCTTGCATCCCACGAGCATACACCGTACTATATACTGCCATAGATAAACCCAACCTTAAATTATATACTGTATTGCTATAAACCACCTTATACATTTTAATATAACACTATGTATTATTCTACTCACCCTAATGTGTATCACACTGCTATATGTTTACTATACAATTACGATACTATATATTACTTTGTACATTGTATTAAGCATATAAATGTTATACTATTTGTTATTATACGCTGTACCATTGACCGTCGTGTCAATGGGTGAGTCGTGGTGGGAAAACTTGCAGCGGAGCAAAGAATCCATTCCCTGCGGAGAATACAATGCCAGTGAGTGTAACGCGGTCTGAACGGTGAACGGTGACTTTCAGACCGCGTTCCACTCACTGGCATTGTATTCTCCGCAGAGAATGGATTCTTTGCTCCGCTGCAAGTTTTCCCTCCACGACTCACCCATTGACACGACGGTCAATGGTACAGCGTATAATAACAAATAGTATAACATTTATATGCTTAATACAATGTACAAAGTAATATATAGTATCGTAATTGTATAGTAAACATATAGCAGTGTGATACACATTAGGGTGAGTAGAATAATACATAGTGTTATATTAAAATGTATAAGGTATAGGGTGGTTTATAGCAATACAGTATATAATTTAATGTTGGGTTTATCTATGGCAGTATATAGTACGGTGTATGCTCGTGTGATGTAAGAGAATAAAGTTTAGATGGAAGCATATTATATAATTTTTACGACGTAGAATTGTAATGTATTACTTGCTGTTAGTAACTCAGCTTATTGTAGAGTATAGTAAGTATACTGATGGTGCTATGCAGTTTATACTTTAGTTTTTTTTAAATGTATTTTATACTTTAGTTTTCTACGTGGTTGTTTAGTAACTGCAGCTACATACTATTAACATTCCTTTCCTTTGTTAATGCTACTCCCTGCACCCCCCCTTGGTGATGTTGATCCTGCATAATGCATGGGCATAATATGACTATGAAACCCCCCCACCCACCTCCTACGCATTTTCCATGAATATGCTAAATTCCTCTTCATATGCACATGCTTTTTGTTAAGGCGCTCTTTCACCTCCAACCCAGCTTAAATATAAGCTCCTAGCTTGGTAGTGTCTCATTCTTCACCTGAAGACGGCTGCTTGCGTTGTAGCCGAAACGTCGTGAGAATTATTTTATTTTATTATGTTTTATTTTTATTATTTTATTACTTCCCTTCTACGTCACAATGCAAATTAACATTCCAATGCGGCAACAGAAGAGGGTGTTTGACCAGAGTAAACCACCTCCATGGCAGATGGATACGGCTTGCAGTGGATTGATCATGGATCTTGATGAGTATATATCTACGTATTGATGAATATACGTTTCATACGAAGTAGATAAGCGCCTATTGTAATGTATATCTCTGTTCTCAAGGGAGAGCTGGTAAATACATTCATTAATGATCCAATAGATTTACAAATACAGTAAAACCTTGGATTGCGAGGATAATTCGTTCCAGAAACGTGCTCGTATTACAAAGCACTCGTATATGAAAGCGAATGTCCCCATAAGAAATAATGGAATCACAGATGATTCGTTTCACAACCCAAAAATACTGTATTCATATAAAAATGATTATTACAAAATACATTTTTACATTTTTCTTATTTAAATTTAATATAAAGTAATCAAATTTATTAATTACATTTAATCGTGGCGGGTGTGAGGGATATGAGAGGAGAAATGGGTTATTGTGTAGGACGACTGTCACTTGCAGTACAGTTACTAAAGAACAGTCGCTATACTTGGAAACAAAATTAAAAATGCTTTACGCACACACACGTGGTCACAACACTATAGTAAACAGTATAAACTCGCACGGATGTTGACTATACGAGTGAGGCACGCCGACTGAGACCGAGCATGGGAGACCATTACCCACAATCCCGCAGCGAGAGAGAGAGAATAACCATTGGCTCAGTAGTGATCACGTGACGCTCGGCAGACAAAACGTATACTGTACGTACTACAGTAGTACTCGTATTGCAAGACATCGCTCGTTTATCAAATTAATGTTTATTTTAAAAAATTTGCTCATCTTTCAAAACACTCGCAGACCAAATTACTCGCAATCCAAGGTTTTACTGTAATTGAACTAGAGACGCAAATTAAAGCAAATTTAAACACATATCCTAAGCGATTGGTGTTAACAGGGTATATATGTTCAAATTATGCACTCTTAAAAGTATTTCGGTAAAACTTTTTGACGGATATATTCAGGAAGAGGCAACTCGTGTAAATGTTGGACCAAACGCGACGCCGCTCGCGTGCAAGGCGAGGCCGTTGTGAGCCGCCTCTAAACCGTTGCCCGTCCCACGCAGTGTTCGTGCTCAGGGACAACTGTGGGCTGTGCAGGGACAGGCCTCGCGTCTGTGCCTGCAGGAATCCCCACCACCACGCAGATTCTGAATTTGTACATCAATCAGATCACGAAGCTCGAGCCCGGGGTGTTTGACAGTCTGACGGCACAGGTGGAGACACGAGAGCCTGAGGCTACTACTAAAGTCACTAATAGTGAATCATTACGTAGAATAGATATACAAGATGCAAAAACAATTCGTTTTACGAAATAGTTGTGGCTTTATGAAGTAAATTGTCAAACGGTGAACTGAGATCGCTTTAGCTTTCTTATCTCTATCGTTGGAAATGGAGATCGCTCCACTCTATGAATCTCAAAGAATTTGAATCAAGGTCAATGCAACGCCTGAAGATTTATGTCAAATATGTCGATCGAAGGAAGGGAATTCGCTTTAGCAAACATATGTATGGAAGTGAACGCATGTTGCTATGATTGTGGAAGATATTGGTTCAACAGACATATCCCTGCGACAGTGAATTGAGGTCGCGTCTTCAGGTAGCACCATCACCGGGCGAAGTTAACGTCGCGGCCAGGACGATCATCTGCGAGGCTCTTGCTTTTGTAACGACCACGCGCTGGTTGTGAAAGCGAATTAAACCCCCAGATGATCGCAGCGTGTTCAGTAAGGGTATGCAGCTCGTTGTGAATTGAGATCACGGTCCGCCCATTGTTTGCTGATACCGCATTGGCAGTGGTGAAAAGGCACAATTAGCAAGAGAAGTCGACACACTCGTAGATAATCCTTAAGAGATGAGGAGAAGTGAGGAGACATCGGGAGAAGAATTGAGTTGATGGGCTCAGCACAGTCGCCAATGAGTGCACACACAAACAACCCCGTAAATTTTAATCCAATCTAATCATGTTACACTTGAGATTACACTTGATGTGGCTCCTTCTCGCTTGAATAACTGCATCTGTTCTTTGATTTGCACGCGAGTAACCCACTTGCCAGGGCTTGTGGGAATGTGCGCCACTGAGTGAAAATAAGAGGCTTAAAGATGTTAATTGACGTCCTCTCGATGGCTATTCTCTGGCACAAGGTGGTGCACTGTTCATTGTACCAGTTTCATCGTTAATATTACCGGTCAGTAACATGACATGAATATAGCTGAAGTACAAATGACTCACTTGGGTTTGGACTTAAACCAATTGAAGAGCATTGCAGGGAGATTATTTAGCTATTTTCATTGTGTTTAATATAAATAGATGTGTGTGTGTGTGCACCTAGCTTGGCACAAGCACTGCTTCGGTTGTAGCGGGTTTGACCGAATGGCTCTGCTGAAGTGGTGATGATCATCACTCGCTTCTGATGTTCGCCGTGGCTGACGATAACATCCAGGTCACCGTGTTCAGAACGCAGTACGCTAACCACTGGGCCCACTACTCCTCGCCTTATCTCTCACTTTAGCAATTTAAAAAAATCACAACGTTCTACATATGTTCATAATGAAACGATTGTGTAGGCTACTTTATCATTCATCACCACGAGAGGCTGAGAGAGGCGAGGAAGCTGATGGAGAGGCGAGGAGGCTGAGCGCTCAGCGCAGGGCACAGTCCCAGGGGTTGTCGTACAGCCAGATGTGAGTGAGGCTCTTGAGGTTGTCAAAGGCGCCCCTGGGAATGCTCTTCAGCTGGCTAATGCGCGATTGCTTCGGACTGAATTCTGTTCACACCGCAATGCAAGTCACTCGTGCACAGCTTCACGTGAGATGGCATCTGCCCTCACTCAGCAGAGCGTGGAATCAATCAGTTGAGCAGTAGACACAACAGACATCGGTGCGGCTTGCGATCGGTTGTATCAGTGCCAGGAACGGCCTTTGCTTCATCGCTGCCACCGGGATAGAGACGACGCTCGGCACGAGTAGCGTTCGGTTTATAAAGCTACCGCGTAATTGACATCCACAGTCATCGTTACTATGATGAGTCGTCACGGTGCCCTCTTGTGCTACGAGTTAGTATGCAGTAGGCCTCGGCAAGGTAAGGTAATTTACCCTTTTTACCGGGTAAAAAGGTGAAGGGTAAAGGTGTCGACATACCAAGGGGTAAGGTAAAGAGTAGGGTAACGGTAGCTCGGAAGAATTACCCGGCAGGGTAAAGGTAGCGCGAAGTATTACCCGGTAAATACGGTACCTTGTTTACCGCTAAAAGCTCCGTGGTGCAGTCCGTGGCCTCCATTTAACAAGTAATATTAAAAAAAACTTTTTTTAAAACACGCTTATATTATTGACATCCACAGTTTAACAAACTCACCCGGCTTAAGCATTTAGGTCTGGACCAAAATCAACTGAAGAGCATCCCGCAAGGGTGTTTGATCGTCTGGGGAATCTGCAGCAGCTTTGGCTGCGCAACAACCAGCTGAAAATCGTTTCCAGGGGCTCGTTTAACAAACCGTTCCAGTTCATGAACCTACCACGTTAAATTTCGATTTAAAGCTTTCGTGACTGCAGGGATTCATCTTCTTGGTTCTTTCGGTAAAGTCACGTAGATCCGTCTAGGCGACGGACCTGAAACCTGGTTTTCACCTGAGGACGGCTGCTTGCGTTGTGGCCGAAACGTCGTGAGAATTATTTTATTATGTTTTATTTTTATTATTTTATTACTTCCCTTCTACGTGACTTTACCGAAAGAACCAAGAAGAACCTACCACGTTATTGACATCAACAGTCATCGTCACCATCATCATTATGTTGTCCTTCTGTGCTACGAGTTAGTCTGCAGTGTCACTGAGCAGTGAATTGACCGTCTACTTTAGTGCAGGAATGGATATCACATGGGTGATTCGTGGGAATTATTTTAGTTGATATTGAGCATTCACAGAAATTCTCACGTGCTGTGCAATGAGTTTCTGTAAATGCTCAATATCAGCTCTCATTATTCACACTATTCACTCATTATTAATCCTTAACAATGTATTAAGAATTTGATTTTTAGGTATTTTTGAAGGACTGTGTATTGTCTTGGTCTGATATGGGACTGTTTTTGCTGTTGTTTTAATGCCTTTCTGAAGCTTTGGAATTTATGCAATTTGAATTTACGTACTGTATTTATTAAAGGGGTGACACAGTGGTGAGATGTTATCGTCCACGCCTGGTATGCAAGAGGTCGGGGGTTCGATCCCGATCCCGACTTTGACTTCTATATATTTGGAGTTCGCATGTTCTTCGGGTGGTCGCATATATTTTTTTCTCCTGGCCCTCCGGTTTTCCCTCCACATTGAGAAATATGAAGAATATTTAAGTTATTTTAGTGCTATAAATATCCAAAATGATAGGCCATTTGTTTCCAAGTCGCTTTTGAAAACATAATTTAATACCTCAGTGGGTTTTGCCTGGTATGGTGTGGATGGTTTAATTTAATTAGCATGTGTTTGGGTGATTTGTTTACATTTCTTATATTTTGCACTACTATCAGATTTCTGGACTGATTATTGTAACGTTCTAACCCACCCCTACTGGACATATGTGAAAAATAGCTTCATAGCTCATCGGATTCCTCCAGTATAAATACATATTCAGATTCTGATTAAATATTCACTAATGCACCCCAAAATTGACCAACTAAGAGTTATATAATTATCTCACTTTTATTGAATAACGAAATGAAATACATCGAGCTGGAATTGGACTGAACATTGACAAATAACTCTAAACATTCGTCAATAGCACTGCCTTAATGCGATAAATATATGATAGAAAACATTTACGTCATATGAAGAAGGACGATTTTCTGAAATGTTACAAAATATAAATACATCCCATTACGGCAATGTGTTTGTGTTATGGTGAGTTTGTTTTATCTGTGCTTCTGCACCACTGGCTGCCAACGCTCTATCATGCTCGCCTCACTCCACAGTGACCCTGCAGGCTAACAAGAGCACACGTAAATGTACGTGCGTGCAACGTCGCGTTTCATATATTTTTTTACTTGAAGACAGTGTCATTGGAGAATTTGTAAAGTTGTTTACGGATATTCAGGCATGATTCAGCTCTGCGTATTTCATTTTGTCATTCCCTTAGTCTGTTGAGACTAAAATTAGATCATTAACGCACTCTTCATTGTTCAACATTGGTCAGAGACACCCATTTATCCCCGACCAGCGTGGTGAAATATGGTGAAATACACCCCATGACTGGAACGGCATGGGAAGGCCTTAATTCAGTAATGATTTTGAAAAAAGACTTTGAATAATTCATTTTATAATTGTTTGCGCAACGCCACTCCGCTCACATATTTGATGGATGAATACAATGTAGCCATTGGTCTTTGAAGTCGTATTTACAGTCACTCTGCTAGAGCCGTCGCACAACAGTAGAGAGCGAGTGTCTGAGGTTCCTGTGCCGTAAGGAACTTGCGTCTCTCCCCGCTGGGGTATTTGATCACTTGGTGAATCTGCACCGCCTGTATCTGAATCAGAACCAGCTGAAAAGCATTCCCAGGGGCGCGTGTGACAAACGTAGCCAGCACTGCAAGCAACGGTCGCTGCGTTGTCGATGGACAAGAGGATATAGATGACGCTCGACACGAGTAGAGTTCAGTTTATAAACCTACATCCTTCGAGTGTCTACCAGTAAGCCTACCTTATAGCCTTTACCAGTAACCCTGCCTTACAGCCTCTATCAGTAAGATTGCCTTATAGTTTCAACTAACAACCCTGGCCCATAGTTTATTTCAGTAAGTGTCTTACAATATATCTGTAAGCATTCTCTATTCTCTTTGAGTAATCCAAAACCTTATGAAGTCTCCAAACGCAATTCTAATCTAAAAGTAAGCCTGTCAACTGTGTATATGGCCTAGATAATCAGCCGTTGTCTTTCATTGTCATTCGCCAGTGTCTATTCACTGCTGGATGTAGATAATATAGCATATTTAAAGTGCCTCAAAGGTAAGTTCTCATCGTGGAACTGCTCCTGTACTGCTAATAAAGTTAGAATTAAATCCACGTTCGTCTTCTCTCTCCTGAGCTCTCTGCCCAAAACAATTCCCTGGCACAAGCTCTCCCCGCCGGGGTGTTTGACCACTTAGCGAATCTGCAGCATCTGTATCTGGGGGATAACCAGCTGTCGGCTTTACCCGTTGGGGTATTTGACAAACTGACCCAGCTCACTGATCTGGGTCTGAACGGCAATCAACTGAAGAGCGTCCCCAGGGGCTGACTCTGCTCCCGCACTCTAAGCAGATCATGGTCTTGAACATCAATGCTGATGTACCTGCACTACGCCGATGAAGTTACTGCACTCTGCACTTGTTTTAATTGCTTCAGCATATAGTTGTCTGACAATATGGAACCAATTCACACATTTGTCTTTCATATTGCACCGAAGATTGACTGCCATTGCAAAACATCTATTTACAAGATCTATTATCTTGTCTGGTAAACCCTAGGTGGTGAGAATAAACTACCCGTGCACACGGTCGAAAGCCTTTTTTGCCAAAATTATTTTAATGAAACAAACGATGCAAGTACACACAGAGGGCATGTATGGAATTGACAGCAGTATAGATACAATGCGAAGTACAATTATTGTTACCAACTTTTTATATTTTGAACCACCTGTCTATGCCATGTGTTTCATTAAACCCTACATCAATTTAACACGTAGGCTTTCGCGACCAATATTATTCATTATATAGGTTTTTGGGTCAGATCGCGTTATTTATAAATGTGTCGTAACCCTCCACCACCCGACACGGCCAAACAGTAAAACATGTGTCACGTTTTTCAAAGGACAAAATAATTCACTTCTTTAGCCCACCGGTGTCTACTTCCGTAACTCGGATAACCCTCTAGGGCAGGGGTCGGCAACCAAAATAACAAGAAGAGCCATTTCTTTCCAATTCGGTACAAAATTCAGTATTTCAAGAGCCGCAATGCATCTGAGTACATACTGTACATACGTACATATCGTCAAGAAGCAGCCCGTAAAGAGCCGCATGCGGCTCCGGAGCCGTAGGTTGCCGACTCCTGCTGTAGGGTATTGACATGGGTGGAGGTGGGGCGGGAAATAAAATTGAGGGGGTGGGGGGAGCTCGAAAGCCCTTTAACAAACAGAAGTATTTAAACAATATTCGTGTTTCTCACGCAGTAACTTTTTATGGTTGGATAAAGTTAATCCATCTTCTCTGTCGCTTCATATTTCTTATCGATACCTCATGGCGAGCAGTATCCACGGATTGACACTTGTAATGGTGGGAGAAAAAATGGAGTCCTGAGAAAGAGTCCGAATATTTTTCAACGCACTCCAAATTGATCAACTTCACCTGTACATGTTACCAGTTGGATCTCGATCTGATCTCAATAATAGCCCAAAGTTGGATATTCTGCTGCGTTTTCAAGTTGCGTCCCTCCAACAATTATTTAATTTTGATTATCACACTTGTTGTACAGTACGTTGGTGTTTAGTTTACTAAATATGTACATACATGAAACTATAGTCTTGAATATGAATCATCTAACAACCGACAATGATGCGGTTTACAATGAAATTTTTGAGGCTATTCATTGTATAATATCATTTGTAACACGCTTTGTTTGCCAGATAGTTGTTTCTCTTTTCGACGTTTTAGCAAGAGCAACAAGGAGACTAAGTAAAACGATCCGATGAGAGCAAGTTGCAGTGTTTTTGTA